CACCATACCTACCTATTGTGGCATTTCCATAGCCATTCTGAGATATATTGCCATGCAACTTTCCACCGTTCTGTTTACTATGACACGTTTCATCATTGTCATATTGCTCTTTGCGTGATCATGTAGTTGACATCGTATTTGTGGCAAGGCCACCTTCATAATTTTCATACATGTCGCTCTTGATTCATTGCATATCCCGGTACACCGCCGGAGCCATTCATATAGAGTCATATCTTCTTCTAGCTTTGAGTTGTAATTTTTGAGTTGTAAATCAATAAAAGTGTGATGATCTTCATTATTAGAATATTGTCCCAGTGAGGAAATGATGATGAAGACTATGATTCCCCCACAAGTCGGGATGAGACTTCGGACTTTATAAAAATAAAAGAGGCCAAAGAAGACCACCAAAAAGAAAAAAAGGGGAAAAGAAAAAGAAAAAGAAAAAAAAAGAAAAAAAAACAGAAAAAATGAGAGAAAAAGAGAGAAGGAACAATTGCTACTATCTCTTTTTCCACACTTGTGCTTCAAAGTAGCACCATGATCTTCATGATAGAGAGTCTCCTATGTTGTCACTTTCATATACTAGTGGGAATTTTTCATTATAGAACTTGGCTTGTATATTCCAATGATGGGCTTCCTCAAAGTGCCCTAGGTCTTCGTGAGCAAGCAAGTTGGATGCACACCCACTTAGTTTCTTTTGTTGAGCTTTCATACATTTATAGCTCTAGTGCATCCGTTGCATGGCAATCCCTACTCACTCACATTGATATCTATTGATGGGCATCTCCATAGCCCGTTGATACGCCTAGTTGATGTGAGACTATCTTCTCCCTCTTTTTGTCCTCACAACCACCACAATAGACCACCATAGTGCTATGTCCATGGCTTGCGCTCATGTATTGCGTAAGAGTTGAAAAAAGCTGAAGCGTGTTAAAAAGTATGAACCAATTGCTCGGCTCGTCATTGGGGTTGTGCATGATGGGAGTATTTTGTGTAATGAAAATGAAGCATGGCCTAACTATATGATTTTGTAGGGATAAGCTTTCTTTGGCTATGCTATTTTGATAGGACATGATTATTTGTTAGTATGCTTTGAAGCATTATTATTTTTATGTTCTGTAAGCTTTTATCTTGAATCATTTGGATCAGAACATTCATGCCACAATAGAGAAAATTACATTGAGAATTATGCTAGGTAGCATTCCACATCAAAAATTCTATTTTTATCATTTACCTACTCGAGGACGAGCAGGAATTAAGCTTGGGGATGGTTGATACGTCTCCAACGTATCTATAATTTTTGATTGTTCCATGCTATTATATTACCTGTTTTGGATGTTTATGGGCTTTATTTTACACATTATTATCATTTTTGGGACTAACCTACTAACCGGAGGCCTAGCCCGCATTGCTGTTTTTTTGCCTATTTCAGTATTTCGAAGAAAAGGAATATCAGACGGAGTCCAAATGGAATGAAACCTTCGGAAGCGTGATTTTTGGAACGAACGTGGTCCAGACGACTTGGAGTGCAAGTCAAGAAGCAGCCGAGGCGGCCATGAGAGGGTAGCCCCCCCCCCATAGGGCGCTCCCCCTGTCTCGTGGGCCCCTCAGACGGCCACCGACATACTTCTTCCTCCTATATAAGCCTACATACCCCGAAAACATCCAGGGAGCCACCAAAGAAATATTTCCGCCACCGTAACCTTCTGTATCCGCGAGATCCCATCTTGGAGCCGTCGCCGGCGTTCTGCCGGAGGGGGAATCCACTACGGAGGGCTTCTACATCAACACCATAGCCCTTCCGATGAGTTGTGAGTAGTTTACCACAGACCTTCGAGTCCATAGTTATTAGTTAGATGGCTTCTTCTCTCTTTTTGGATCTCAATACAATGTTCTCCCCCTCTCTTGTGGAGATCTATTCGATGTAAACTCTTTTTGCGGTGTGTTTGTCGAGATCCGATGAATTGTGGGTTTATGATCAAGTTTATCTATGAATAATATTTGATTCTTCTCTGAATTCTTTTATGTATGATTGAGTTATCTTTGCAAGTCTCTTCGAATTATCGGTTTGGTTTGGCCTACTAGATTGATCTTTCTTGCCATGGGAGAAGTGCTTAGCTTTGAGTTCAATCTTGCGATTTTCTTACCCAGTGACAGAAAGGGTTGCAAGACATGTATTGTATTGTTGCCATCAAGGATAAAGAGATGGGGTTTATATCATATGCTTGAGTTTATCCCTCTACATCATGTCATCTTGCTTAATGCGTTACTCTGTTCTTATGAACTTAATACTCTAGATGCATGATGGATAGCGGTCGATGTGTGGAGTAATAGTAGTATATGCAGGCAGGAGTCGGTCTACTTGTTGCGGACGTGATGCCTATATACATGATCATTCCTAGATAATCTCATAATTATTCGCTTTTCTATCAATTGCTCGACAGTAATTTGTTCACCCACCGTAATACTTATGCTATCTTGAGAGAAGCCTCTAGTAAAACCTATGGCCCCCGGGTCTATCTCTTATCATATTTGCTTCCAATCTACTTTTATTTGCATCTTTATTTTCTGCATCTATATTACAAAATACCAAAAATATATTTATCTTATCATATTATCTCTATCTGATCTCACTTTCGCAAGTGGCCGTGAAGGGATTGACAACCCCTTTATCGCGTTGGTTGCGAGTTCTTTGTTTGTTTGTGTAGGTTTGTGGGACTTATGAGGAGCCTCTTACTGGATTGATACCTTGGTTCTCAAAAACTGATGGAAATACTTACGCTACTATTGCTGCATCACCCTTTCCTCTTCAAGGAAAACCAACCCAAACTCTAGACGTAGTAGAAGTGCCGGCCGACCGGCGACAACGATACTGGGAGATGACGACGAGGGAGAGGGACTGTAGCGGGGGCGGGGGTGCCACACAGGAATGAAATCGCCCCGCAAGCGCCATCCTCGGGCGCGGCGCGGCTTCGCCGGCCGTCCCTCCGGCGGCTGCGCAGCGGGCGTACTGGCGACGGAGGGGAGCTCCCAACGGCGGCGAGGGTTTCTCCCGTGTTGCCAGATGCGTGTGTGTGTGGGGGGGAGGGTGTCTTCCTCCGGTTTCTATAATCTTTCAATCTCTTTCAGGGAAGAAGTAAAAAAAATAAGACCAACCCAAGGGCTAACCCTCGTTGGCATTTTTTATAGGAGAAACTTCGTGAGCACCACGCGTCAAAGTCAAGGCTTGAACTCGGGTGGGCTGGCAGCTACCCCAGCTGCCCAGCCAACGGGTCGACGCCTCATCCTCGTCAGGGAAGAAGTAAGGAAGCAACGAGTGGACATAGGATTCTTGTAAATGTCTTCATGGATTGCCTTTTGGTGAGTACTGCAAATCGCCCAAAGCATGACAATCATCCTAGACTCCTCTACGGACAGATCTTCATGCATTGCAAAAAGCCAGTTCTTCGCATTGGGAAGGGTACAAAAAGGCAAGGTTTTTAATTTCAAAAACAAAATAATTTCGGAGCCCATCGAAATATGCGAAATTTCGGAAATTTCGCATATTTCGGATTTTCCGATTTCAAATTTAGCTTCATTTTATTGAATTCTAAAATAATTTAAATTCATTTGAAAATCTGTTTGAATCTGCATCGAAACTTAGGTGCTGATAATATTTCGGACCCCACTGAAATATGCGAAATTTCGGAAATTTCGTTGAAATTTTTAACCCTGATCCTATTCTCCGTGTACGTTGTGGGATAGTGATCAATCGCGCACCCTTGCCCGCGGGAATGGGCCAGCCCGTTCGTGTGTTCTGCGTTTTTTCCGTCTGATTTATTTTCGTTCTTCTTTCTCTTCCCTGATTATTTTTTTCTTCAAATTCGCAAACTTTTTTAAATTATGATTTGTTTTAAAAATCTTAAATAATTTCAAAAATCATGATTTTCTACAAATTTGTGAATATTTTTTGAAGTCGAAAACAATTTTGTAATTTCTTGAATATTTTATCAAACTCGTAAACATTGTATTTGAAGGTCATGAAAATTTATCAAATTCATGATTTTTTTGACTTTGTGATTTTTTTTGAAATTAGTGAACTCACGAATAGTTTTTGGAACTCTAAACATTTTGATCATGTATTTGATAAAATGTTGATCATGTATAAAAAAATTGTTTAAAAAAAAGAAATGCTCTAAACCTTTTGGAGGAGAAGCAACAAAATGGGCCGGCCTACAAAGCAGCGTGACAACCAACCTAGCCTAGCATAGCCGCCTAGCGCCACCCCAAGAAAACCCAGGAGACGGCGTCCCTCTGCTTCCCGGCCTCCGCCGCCGCAGCAGATGAGACAGAGTCCCTCTCTGTCCCTGCTGCCTGCTGCCTGCTGCCTCCAGAGAAATTCCGACACGATCGACTTGGCCTCCAGAGAAACTCCGACTCAAAACCCACCCTGCTCTGCTCCAAAGAAAGAAATTATACACTGCGTACTAGAAAGCTTTCAATCTGGATCGCCGGAACTGTGCTCCACCGGAGGTACCCCCGTTACAAGTCTTCTTTCTTTGCCGCCTAATTTTGCTGCTCCTGCTTGCTAATGCTACGAACCCCAATTTTCTTCATACACATACATACACTCCTCATCCTCATCCTGTACGTACGTGTGTAGTCATATTCTTCATCCTGTACTCCGGTGTAGTAGTGTTCTTCATTAATACTTCGTCAGAAAATTTTTGTAACTGAATCCTCGTCCCTGCCCTGCCCTGCGCACCTTACACTTTTTCATTCAATCATCAACTGTCCATCATCCACACATGTATATATGTAATTGAATTAATTCATCAGAAAATTTATTATTACCTGTTTTGTCTTCCCTTTGATTCTTTTTCCGCTTGTTGCATACTACTTTTTATATTTGATGGCTGAATGAATCGGGAGTTGAAGCTTGCAAGTTGCAGCCCTTGATACTGCCTGCTTGCTTATTCACTCATTGAAACAGAGGGAATTCTTCTTCTTGCAAGTTAAGGATGACGGCATCCAACGCAAATTCGTCATGTAATTGGTAACTCATTTTGCTTTTTGCCTATTCTATTCCTATTTCCCACAACTTGCTAGTATATGCTTACATATATCTATGCTCAACACTTTGATTTTTTTTTTAAACCACAAGTTCAAATACCTGTTCCTCGGAGGGGGCAGCTGACCAGGGTGATAACCTTTCGAGGCTGTTCACGGACTTCGCCGTGGACAACAACACGTTCGCGGAGGCGCGCATCAGGGCCGCTTTCTACCCCAAATTCGAAAATGACAATTCCGATCGACAGGTTTTTAATCAAGGCTTACTTTCTAAATCTTCCGTTGCTTAATTGCACTTTGGGAGTCATATTTAGATTTAGTGAATGGGGTTTTAATTAATAGCCTTTAGTGGGAACCTAACCTTACCCCCGGTTTTGTGATGGCAGACAAGGACTCGGATGATTGAGATGGTGTCGTGTGGCTCAGCTACCATGGAGGTATGTTTGATTTCTTCTTCTTTTGCCGTTTGATTAATTACTGGTTTTATTTTACCTAACTGCTTGCAGTGACGATGGTTAAAATGTGTTCACCCTACAAAAAGATAAGTTTTTCTCCAGGTTACGCTGAAGCATTCAGGATCTCTATTCATGTATGCCGGTCACCGTGGTGGAGCATATTCCAAGAACAGCTTTGGAAATATGTAGGTGCCACTAGTTTGTCTTGTTGATCTTTGTTTGTTGAGCTGTTTATTTAACTGAATGAAGGTGCAATTCCTTCCTTCTTTGGGGATATATATGTAGCTACACTGCTGTGGGCGTTTTTGTCCTGGACCGTATGTTTCGTGAAGCTTGGGGGAAGGAAGCCCCTAAAAAGCAAGCCGAATTTAATGATGTTCTTGAGGTATCCCAAGCATGTTTGGTGCCTAACCTTTCTTTGATACATAGTTTATTGAAATTTTAAACACTCATCAAGAATGTTCAGTTTACTATTAGGGCCTTTCATCGTTTGCATTTCGGCTTGTCAGCTGTTTTCTTAAAAATTCCTGATTTTGCCGCTGTTCTGTGCTTCTAGAAAAAACGGATAAACATTTCAATGGAACTTGTGACGGCTGTATTAGGAGACCATGGGCAAAGGCCAAAGGATGACTATGGTATGATGCCCGATTACTTTACCTATTTAACCGTGACATCAATTTTCAGACAATGAATTTTACCATTCTTGGTAGTCCTTTTTTTTGCACAAAATCTCTTTTGAATGCATATTTATATCAGTTTTATTTTGGCCTTTATGCAGCCGTGGTTATAGCTGTAACAGAGTTAGGTCATGGCAAACCAAGGTTCTATTCTACTCCACAAGTGATTGCCTTTTGTCAAGAATGGCGCCTACCAACAAATCATGTGTGGCTATTTTCCACAAGGTGGTCTTCTGACAAGTTTACTGTTTCCTATGTCAAAGTATTTGATATAAGTTTCCATTCCGAAGCTGTTTTAGATGAGATGCATCTTCATAATTGTTCTTTTAATTATGAGACTACAAGAGGGTTAAACCGTTTGTTGCCATTAATTTAGACTAAATTAGTTACTAATATTCCTTGTGAATGAGCCATTATTATTGCCATGCCCTCAAAAAGTGCACATCTCTTCAGTCTTCACTGCTGGGTCTTCCCTTATTATTATTATTCTTTATCTTTACATCTTTGCAAGGAAATCTGCCACTTCTTTTTTCGCTACCTACGATGCATTGTGTGAAGAGGGGACTGCCACGCCGGTTTGCACAGCCCTTGGCGAAATAGCTGATATATGTATACCAGGTAAGTCTACTATTTTGAATAATAATTGCTGTATTACACTCTCACTGCTGTTCTAATATGTTTTCATGTCTCTCTTTATTTGTAGGGTCAAAGGATCATGTGATGGTACAGGGTGAGATTCTTGAAGGCCTGGTTGCCCGTATTGTTAGCCGTGAAAGTTTGGTTCAAATGGAACAAGTCTTGAAAAACTTCTCACATCCTCCACTAGATGGAGGTAAGCCAGTAAAATGATGTTGCCTTGTTATTTGAGTGATATAAATGATCCATACAAGAGGGTTTCTGTTTGTTTGCGAAGTTTTCATCTCAATATTAAGGTTCTTGTTCAAAGACTGGCTACTTCTCATTTGTTCGCATACATTTACCATGTGGAAATGCTAGGCCTGTTAGGATGCTATTGAGCATGGTAACTGAATCAGATCATCATGAATTAAAGATACGAGCAAAATTCTCCATATTCAGCTATATCTTTATTAATATGGGAGTGGAAAGGACAGAATAAGATAATAAGAAAGGAGAAGAAGTGAAATACTGAAAATAAAATACAAAAATTGTATCCTTGTTTGGTCATCCCCCCCTACCTTCTCATTTTGATTGCTATAGACGTATAGGTAATAATAGGATGTAGCATTTCTGAACCTTCACTTTTTGAAAAGCTTCTTATCTATGCTTTTGTATTAATAAATATTTTCCGATGCATCTGAACATGTTGTAGGAAATAATTCTTAATGCAGTCGAGTTGTAAATGCATTAGCTTTTACCATTGATTTAGAAAGTTACTCTTCTATGCAGTTGACTCTGATTTGGGACCAAGTTTACGTGAAATATGCGCCGCTTATAGGTCAGATGAAAACCAGGTACTGTTTAATGTTGTCAAGTTGTATTCGCTTTTTCATGATTTGTCTTAGTATTATATTGATTCTATCTTTTCTATAACTTATTAATTTTACATGAACAGAAAATTAAAGTACTTCTTGAAAATGTTGGATCTTCAATATGTCCAGACCATTCTGATTGGTTTGGAAGTGGTGGTCTTGATGCTCAGTCTCAAGACGCTGATGAATCGGTTGTCACTTGCTTTTTGCAAGCACATCCTACTGACAATACAACTAAGAAATTGCAGGTTAGTAGTTTTTTATTTGTTCCTGTCCAACAGTAAGTATTTTTTACTTACATTGTAAATGTTTTATAACTGCAAATGTCAATAATACAACAACTACTACATGACAACTAATTTCTTCTGCACTGTTACAGGAGATGATTCGTGTGATCAAGCAGAGAAATTTCCCTGTAGCACTCAAATGTTACCAAAAAGTTGATTCTCTTTCAAATGATAACTTGTATTACAAGATGGTTATCCATGTGCACAGTGATTATGTTTTTACAAGTTATCGGCAAGAGATGAGGTAAGATTGCAAAGTCAGTGTCGCATACCTAATTAGCTCATTGCAGCAGTGGATTTTTTTTTGCTTTATGGGATTTATTATCTCTGTTATTAGATTTAATTGGTCATGTACTACTTTTTAGGAAAAAGCAAGGGTTATGGCCACTGTATAGGGGTAAGATGGACCATGTGACTCAAAGTTCTTCTCAATACAATAAGTCAGCATGGCTTCGACTGACATAGTTTTCATGATTAGGTTTCTTCGTTGATGTAAACCTGTTCAAGGCGAATAATAGGAAGGCTGCTGAACATCCCAAAGACAGTAACACTTTACTGAAAAATATTGATGGTGCCGAGAACAGTGACGAGGATTCAAATTTGATGGTCAAACTAAAATTCCTGACTTATAAGGTAACTTCACTGCCATGGTTTCAGCTTCTTTCAGGGCTTAGGTGTTGATGTATGGATACAATGCTGTTACTCTGGATTGCTTGCTTTCATTTTAACATTTGATTGATGCACCTGTAAAATAAGTATTGCAGTGTCACTATAATTAATGCTGCCTATAAGCTTGGCATATCTGCGTGGCGGCCTTGTTTCCTTTAGAATCTTCTTTGTTAATTCTTGCACGCCGGAGAGTACTGCATCGTATAAGTTTTAACTAATGGATATGCATATGTATCTTCTAACAATTCCCTTACATGACTACCTGCCTGACAGGTAAGGACATTTTTAATTCGGAATGGCCTCTCCACCCTCTTCGAAGATGGCCCATCTGATTATAGAGATGATTGCCTGAGGTATGTCATGTATTCAAATCTCAAAGTAGGAAATGCATATTAGTAGGAAAAGTTAATATCTCTAAAGCGAGGCCGCTCACATGTAGGATGTGGTATTCAAGAATTTTTCTGCCATGTGAAATATGCGTAGTTTTGTCAATTGTGACTAGTTAAAATTTAAATTGTGGTTGGTGCTCTGCTCTTGTATTGAATACAAAGAGTGCTACCTGGTCTGACATCAATGGTCCTGAACGTGTTAATAGACAAATGGAGAATTGGGGAACATCAGCAAGTAAACAGAAGGAGCTTTGCGAACTGTTGGATGAATGGTATATTACTAACTTCTTTCTCTTCGTTCATAGGAGTTTTTTTTTTACCAAACTGCATATGTTTCTTTTAATTTAATTGGTTTGCCAAACAAAACAGGGCTGTGTATATTACAAGAAAGTGCGGAAATAATGCACCCTCGTCCTGGACGTATCTTAGCGAGGCAGAGCCTTTCTTTGAACAATATGCTAAAGCAAACCAGGATTTGATAGGGGCTGCTGGTGAATTGGTTCAAGCGTCTAGTCCTACTACGTCCCTCAATGGTGTTTCAAAACCCGAGGGCCTCATCGTCTTCTTTCCTGGTAAATTCTATTTTTCCTTATAACAGTTTTTAAGGTTTACGTTTCATCTTGAGTTGTTTTCAGTCATTAGAATAACTGAGGATATGACTGTCAAGCAAGATTAAAGAACATGATGAATCATCATCATTCGCATAGATCATCTTTTCCCTGCCAAGTTTCAATTTAATGATGATTTACTAATTCCCATTATGTCCTCGTTATATTATTTTGTTCTCCGATCCGTCAGGTATACCTGGTTGTGCAAAGTCTGCTCTATGCAAGGAACTATTGAAAATGCCTGGTGGCCTTGGTGATAATCGCCCTCTTCATAGTCTGATGGGAGATCTTCTTACTAAAAAAGGTACGCATCTTTAGCAGCATTCTTTGGTTGACATGTTCATAGGACCAAAATATAGATTCGGAAAAAATCCATTTTCAAACTATCTCCCCTTACAGCAAAATACTGGCAAAAGGTTGCTGACGAGCGGAAAAAGGAACCATTTACAATAACCCTCGCCGACAAAAACGCACCAAATGAGCAAGTGTGGCGGCAGGCAAGATTGCTACTTTCAAATGAGAAGATGGAGTCAATGTTATTTCTTTCACATGCTACATACAGTTTAGAAAGAAAGAACTGAATTTGTGGTCCATTTATATATTGTAGATTGAGAATATGTGTGGGACCACAAAAGCGGCTGCTGTTCCTGTTGTTCCTGATTCTGAAGGTAATTAATTATCAGTATGCTTTATCGATTTGTTTTTTGTTTCATGCTTTTTCTGCTACTTGACACAAAAAACAAGTCTGTACAAAACCCCAGATTATCTCTGCTTATGATGTGTTTGTATTTTTTCTTCATTTCCTTGAAACTGCAGGCACCGACACAAATCCATTTTCTCTTGATGCTCTTGCTGTTTTCATGTTTCGCGTACTCCAGCGGGTCAATCATGAGGTACACAAAGCCATTTACTCTTGAAGCTCTTGCTGTTTTCAAGTTTGCTGTAAATTGTAAATTGTCCTCTAACATGTTATGACTTACATACCTACATATAAAGGGAAATCTGGACAAGGCATCACAGAATGCTGGTAAAGTTGTGCTAGAGTTTTACAACCTCTATGATGGCAAGGTATGCCCTTTCCCAAAAATACAGTTTCAGATCCTATTGGGATGCCATACCATGTTATCAGTGTTACATTCAAGAAAAAATGCACTTCCAGAATCGAAGAGAATTCGAAGGCCGACTGCACGAGCGTTTCGGCTCCTTGGTTAAGATGCCTCTCCTCAAGCCAGATAGGTAGATATTTTTACATATTCCTGAAGCCAGAGAAACATGCCATTTTTGTTGGTCTTAAAAAAACTTGTACTTACTGAACTGCTACTTGGCTTCTCCTATTTTCAGAGCTCCATTGCCTGGTGATGTCAAAAGTATCTTAGACGAGGGGCTTAGCTTATTCAAATTGGATCGAAGCAGGCATGGAAGAAGGTATGGAACCGCTACCTCTTAAAACCTGAGTACAAATTAAACTACTGCTGTGGAATAGTCAAATAGTCATCAAAATCATGATTCTTTATAATCTGGCTGATGTGATCAATAATGTCGAATCAGAGTGGAGCCATCAGAATGGACACAGTGGGAGGAGAGGTTGCGCGAGATCTTGTTGGAGAATGCTGATTATCTTAAATCCATTCAGGTAAACATATCTCATGTACGTATTTATTTGTCAGTGAAAATCTGTATTCTTTTCAGGAAACACTTAACTTTATGGACTGACGTGTTGTGTTGATTTGAGTCGAAGTACATACAGTAGGCTTACAAGAGAACATACACAAACCCTAAACTTGGTTGGAAACACCATATATTAATTGTACCACCGTCTCTACTTTCGGGCACCTACACTCACACATTTGGGTACCAACCTCATCCATTGGGTGAATAATACCCTTTTTACAGTCACAAGTTTGGAGTGTTAGCCTTAACATTTAATCTCATCTCTGATTTAGCAATAGCAATTGAGGTGACTTTACATTGCTACGTGAGGTGCTTTGATCAGAGAGTTATTGGCTAGCAATAGCATTAACTGATCCAGCCTACTAAAAGTCTGAAACCATCAAAGTTTACAATTTCAGCGCACAGGTTGGTGATGATGCTTTTGTTCCCTGAGGAAAAGATAATTGATTTCTTTGGCTCTAATGTGTAGGTTCCGTTTGAGGCTGCGGTGAAACAAGTAGTGGAACAGTTAAAGGCCGTGGCAAAAGGTGATATCAAACCACCTGATACTGCGAAGCGGAGGTTGGGCAATATCGTTTTTGCTGCTGTTACATTATCCCCGGCAGACGTATTGGGCCTTGTCCGGAAGGTAACAAGCAGTGTATGCTCATCTTATATGGTAGTCTCCAATAAGATAGATGTATTGGACGATGCTGTGAATCTAACCGGATCATGCATATTGCACAACTGAACTCAACAGGTTGCAGAGAAGGACACGGATGTCGACAATTTTCTCAACGGCATAAAATTAGAGGATAGCCTCAAGAACAAGGTGCATGTCACCCTCGCCCACAAAAGGGTCCATGGTGTAGCCGCGGTCGCAAGTTATGCGGTCTACGAGAAGCAGGAACTAGCCGTATCGTTTAACGCCTTCGTCTACACCGATAAGATGGCTGCCCTCGAGGCACAGATTGGAACGGTAAACGGAGAGACCATTGTCTGCAGAAATGATTGGCCACATGTTACTCTATGGACAGCTGCAGGCGTGGCACCAAAGGAAGCAAACACACTGCCGCAGTTGGTTTCCCAGGGAAAAGCAAAGCGGGTGCCGGTCGACCCTCCTATCACCATCTCTGGAGTTGTCGACTTGAACTGTCTTTAGATTAGATATTTGTACACTATTCGGTGGGACCGATCAATACAAAATATGCAAGCTTTAGGCTTTTCGGTGACTTCGGATGAAAACGTTCTTTGGCTCCGAGTTGTGATGACCTAAGCACTTTACACACTTTGGTATCACCGACTGAAACTATTTGGAAATTCTGAACAAGTTGCAGTAGGACGAAGGGCCAACTCGGCGAGACCAAGGTTTTAGGTTTTTAGGCAACGACTATGTCATGGATGACTTGGTGACTCCGGGTGTGAATGCATGTTCGGTGAGTCCGACTAGTATTTAGGGTTTGTGACCGTGGGAGTGTGAGAAGGCTTTTGGAGCTTGATCTCTAAACACTTGAGCAGTGAATCCATTATCACAACCTTTTTTTTCCTTTTTGATAGTATTGGCATATCTATGGACTCAATGTCTTGGAACATAAATATAAAAAGGAGTCTTGAGGCTTGACCAACACTTGTCCTTAGCATCTTGAGGGGGAGTTGAACTTTAATGAAATATACTCAAGCAAAACATTAGTCCAACAATATGTATGTTGACATGAATACCAAAACCATCAGGGAGTGGATGTGCTTTCACTCTTCTTCCTCGACTTGACAACATGTCAAGGCTCCTGCCCTGGATCTTCCTCCTCAATAATCGTCTTAGTCGACTGGGACGAGGCGTGATCACCCTCACTAGAAACACGACCTAGTAATACAAATCGTTATCCAGACACGTGCGAGGATCCCGACGAGAGGACACTTGGTGCGAGGCAACAAGATTGAGGGGACAACAGACGGGGAAACTATGGCCTCTGACTCAGAGCAAAGCAGCCGACAATGACCCTTTCATCCCCAAGCGAGATTGGCTCAACGGCTTCTTAACGGCTTTTGCGTCACATGGAGGAGGACCTCATACAACCTCTAATTGCCCAGACTGAGCAAAAGTTGTATCTTAAAAATTGAAAGAGAATTTCACTTATCCCGGCCTCTACACCAACTAGGGAGGAAAAAAAATCCTATACGACCGGGTTGTATGGTTTCGATCCGGAGACCCACTTAGCTGATTGACGTGTGGCAGCGCCAATCTCGTCGCAAAAGGTAACTTATCTGCCAATTCCGTTTGCCAAATCTCAATTCCAAGCTCGGTGCGCTCGTTCCCGACGACGACGGCATGGCGGCAAGACGGCAGTGACACGGCGACGGAGACAGCCTACCAAACAACTCCATTGCTGTAGGTCTTGCCCGATGATGGATTCATTTTCTTAAAATGCTCGGTGCCTTGACAAGCGAGAGGACTCATGCCGGCGGCGAGCAGTGGGGTTACCCCAGCAGCGAGCAGCGGGGTTACGCCGGCGACGAGCAGCTTGGCCTCGACGGCGGGTGTGAGCAGCGCGATTCTGCCGGCGTCGAAAAGTTTGGCCGCGACCGACGGGGCAAACAGACTAGACAGACGTTGGTGAGTAGGGAAAATCGCAGTGGCGGCGAGAAGCATGGCTCTGTCGGTCGGCGGTGACAGACACAGAGCACCAGCGGCAGGTTTGGGATCTCGCTGTGAAGGGAAGTAGGGAACGAAACAATGGTTGGTTTTCATGACAGAGAATCAGAGAAGAAGGTACATGCATTGAGATTCGCACTGCCACGTGTCAATCAACTGAGTGGGTCTCCCGATCAAAACCATACAAACCGGTCGTATAGGAATTTTTTCCAACTAGGGATGCTGATTGAGAGGGAGATGAATGGATTAAGGTTTGGCTTTTGAATTACACACAATTAACACATACATACATATATACATACATACATACATACATACATGCATGCATACATAGAGATGAATGAATGATATGATACATGCATACAGAGAGAGAATTAAGATGGTTATTGATTAGTCGTTGGTGGGATTGGGATTAGGATTATGATTGTTGGCTTGGTGCGTATAAGTGGGTGGTGCACTTGTCAATCCCTCGACGGTTACGAGCAAGATTAAATTGTATGGTGATAGATAGATAGATAGATCACACAAAAATACAAAATAAAATAAATAAAAGGAAAACCATTACAAAGCAAGGTTGATGTATGTATGTATGTGTTAATTTGAGTCCACCATACCTACCTATATACGGTATTTCCATGTCGTTTTAAGAAAATTTGTATGTGCCATATCTAATTTTCAAAATGAATTTGCTTTTTGTGTGCTCGTACCGCTCATGAAGCAGCAAAGGGTGGCCAATATTTTCCATGCTAGATGTGTTATTCTCAAGATGAGTGTTTATTCGCTTGTCATTGCACGAGAGTGCGGCGGTAATAGGGATGCCCAGTCCCGAAATGAAAAAGAAATTTACTTTATGTTGTCAAATAATAAATTCCTTGTAAACTGTTGGTATGGAGGGCATCCATGAATACGGCTAGCCAAAGATTGTGAAAGGATGGTGGAAAAAGGAATAAACTTTATTTTCTGTTTGGGAACCGCCTATGATATATCTAGCATGGAAAGTGTTGGGAATTACTCAGTCATTTTTGTTGATGTGAAAAGTATGCCTGTCAAAAAAATTTATCTCTCAATTTAAGCTTTGAGCTATAGCACCTCTACAAATCCTTACTTCCCTCTGCGAAGGGCCTATCTATTTACTTTATGTAAATTTTATTTTTATTTGAGTCTTCATCTTCTCTTATAAAGCACCAACTAAGGGGCACTATGATCATACTTGAGCATTTGATGTAGCTAATATGCGAGTGTGTTCCATGAATGGATCAATGATTCAGCATGATGGGCTAGGGATAACTTTATTTAGTGTTGATATTTTGAAAGGCATGATTGCTTGTTGATTGATACGTCTCCAATGTATCTATAATTTTTTATTGTTACGTGCTATTATATTATCTGTTTTGGATGTTTAATGGGCTTTAATATGCTCTTTTATATTATTTTTGGAACTAACCTATTAACCGAAGGCCCAGTGCGAATTGCTGTTTTTTTGCCTATTTCAGTGTTTCGCAGAAAAGGAATATCAAATGGAACAAAACCTTCGCGAGGATCTTTCTTGGAACAAACGCAATCTAGGAGACTTGGAGTAGAAGTCAGAGACGCAACGAGGCGGCCATGAGACAAGGGGGTAGGCGCGCCCCCCACTCTCGTGGGCCCCTCGTAGCTCCACCGGCCTACTTCTTTCGCCTATATACACTCTTATACCCTGAAAACATCCAGGGGAGCCATGAAACAAGTTTTCCACCGCCGCAACCTTCTGTACCTGTGAGATGCCATCTTGGGGCCTTTTCCGGTGATTTACCGGAGGGGGATTCGATCACGGAGGGCTTCTACATCAACACTATAGCCTCTCCGATGATGTGTGAGTAGTTTACCACAGACCTTCGGGTCCATAGTTATTAGCTAGATGGCTTCTTCTCTTTCTTTGGTTCTCAATACAAAGTTCTCCTCGATGTTCTTGGAGATCTATTCGATGTAATACTCTTTTACAATGTGTTTGCCGAGATCCGATGAATTGTGGGTTTATGAACTTGATTATCTATGAATATTATTTGGTTCTTCTCTGAGTTCTTATATGCATGATTTGATATCTTTGCAAGTCTCTTCAAATTATCGGTTTAGTTTGGCCTACTAGATTGATCTTTCTTGCAATGGGAGAAGTGCTTAGCTTTGGGTTCAATCTTGCGGTGCTCGATCCCAGTGATAGAAAGGGAACCGACACGTATTGTATTGTTGCCATGAGGATAAAAAGATGGGGCTTATATCATATTGCTTGAGTTTATCCCTCTACATCATGTCCTCTTGCCTAATGCGTTACTCTGTTCTTATGAACTTAATACTCTAGATGCATGTTGGATAGCGGTCGATGTGTGGAGTAATAGTAGTAGATGCATAATCGTTTCGATCTATTTGACACGGACGTGATGCCTATATTCATGATCATTGCCTTAGATATCATCATAACTATGCACTTTTCTATCAATTGCTCGGCAGTAATTTGTTCACCCACCGTAATACATGCTATCATGAGAGAAGCCACTAGTGAAACCTATGGCCCCCGGGTCTACTTTACATCATATAAGTTTCCAATCTATAATTCTAGTTTACTATTTACTTTGCAATCCTTATTTTCCAATCTATACAACAAAAATACCAAAAATAGTTATCTTATTATCTTTCTCAAATCTCACTTTTGCAAGTGGCCATGAAGGGATTGACAACCCCTTTATCGCGTTGGTTGCAAGGTTCTTGATTGTTTGTGCAGGTACTAGGAGACTTGCGTGTAGTCTCCTACTGGATTGATACCTTGGTTCTCAAAAACTGAGGGAAATACTTACGCTACTTTGCTGCATCACCCTTTCCTCTTCAAGGGAAAACCAACGCATGCTCAAGAGGTAGCAAGAAGGATTTCTGGCGCCGTTGCCGGGGAGATTTGCGCCAAGCCAAGTCAAGATTTGGTCTGCTGTCAACTAGCCATTTCTGGCGCCGTTACCGGGGAGATCTACGCTCAAGTCAAGCCATACCAAGTACCCATCACAAACTCTTATCTCTCGCATTACATTATTTGCCATTTGCCTCTCGTTTTCCTCTCCCCCACTTCACCTTTGTCGTTTTATTCGCCCTTTTTCACCTCTTTTCGCTTGCCTCTTGTGTGCTCGTGTGTTAGATCGTTTGTTTCGCCATCATGGCCAGTCCTTCTATCATTGTTAATACTCCCAATAATTAAGTTCTTAATTTTAAACAAAGGGAGGGAGAAAATCTAAAAGATGCTTGGTATAGAATTTGCAATGCTCAAAATAGATCCACTAGGAAGCAATCTACTTCCGTTCTTCTTCGCTATTTTTACGTGGGCATCACTCCTTGGAACAGATATATTCTTGATACCATTACCGGAGGGAATTTCTTGAGTAGCCATAATTTTGATTCTTATAACGCTACGATAGATTTGCTAGGCCCACCACCTCCTTTGGTTAATGGAACTATTTTAACTTTGGAACATGTTATGCAAAGGCTTGGTATTA